ACATGTTTGGATCACAAAAGGAACATGTGTAGAAGTGTTCATTCAGCTAGTCTAAAGGCAAAGGCAAATGTAGAAACACATACTGTGATTTCTGGACCTGTTTCCTAGAGCAGGTTTCAAGGTAAATGTAGTTATTGTTGTAAATCCAACTTGAAACGAGTGTCAAGCCTTATATATATAGGTAGGCCTATCTCTCAAACACTAGTACTCTGTGTTCCAAAGTACATGAAAGATGTCTTCCAAACACATTCAGATCCAAGAATAAAATATGTGGAGAAGCAATCATTCAGCTACACTGCACTTTAAGGGTAAATCTAGAAACGTTTACTGTGAATTCTCAACATGTTTACTAGACCTGGTTTCAAGGTAAAGCAAGTTTTTGCTGTAAAACCGAGAAGGAGCAAGTGCCTAACATTATATACAGAAGTATGCCTATCTCCCAATCATTAATACTATGTGTTCCCAACAAGGTTGCTGAAAGACAGCTTCCAAACACATTCGGTTCCCAGGATGAGACATATGGAGAAGCCTTCATTCAATTACACTAAAGTGCAAGGATAAATCTACAAACATTTATTGTGAATACTCCTGAAGTTTCCTTGCCGGTTTCAAAGTAAAGTCAGTTTTCAGTGTAAAACGATGTTGGAAGTAGTGAAAAACTTTATATAAATGGTAGGTCTATCTCAGAAACACAGACAATCTTTGTTCCCAACAAGATATCTCAAGGACTGTTTCCATACACATTTAGATCCCTGAATGGAACATGTGGAGCAGCGTTCATTCAGCTACACTAAAGTACAAGGGTAAATGGAGAAATATTCACCGTGAATTCTCAGCATGTTTCCAAGAGCCAGTTTCAAATTAAAGGCAGTTTTCACTGTAAAATCGAGTTGGAGACAGTCTCTAACCTTATATATATATAGGTAGGCCTATCCCTCAATCACAGATTTCCTGTGATTACAACAAGGTTACAGAAGGATGGCTTCAACACACATTCAGTTCCCAGAATGAAACATGTGGAGAAGCTTTCATTCAGCTACAGTATATTTCAAGAGTATATCTATAAACATTTACTGTGATTTCTCAGCATACTTCTGATAGCAGGATGCATGGTAAGGGCAGTTTTCACTGTGAAACTATGTTGGAATGAGGGCCAACCTTAAATATATAGGTAGGCCTATCTCCAAAACCGAGATACTGTATGTTCACAATAAGGTAGCTGAAGGACGGCTTCCATGCACATTTGGTTCCTGGAATTAAATGTGTGGAGAAGCATTCATTCAGCTACACTATAGTTCAAGGTTAAATCTAGAAAAACTTACTGGTATTTCTCAGCATGTTTCCTAGAGCCGGTTTCAATGTAAAGAGTGTTTACTGTAACACCATGTTGGAGTGAGTGCTGAACCTAATATATATAGGTAGGCCTATCCCCCAAACAGATATAATCTGTGTTCCCAACAAGGAAGCTGAAGGGCGGATTCCAAACAGATTAGGTTCCCAGAATGAAACATGATTAGATGCATTCTTTCAGCTACACTAGGATCAAGGGTAAATCTAACAAAATTTAGTGTGAATTCTCAACATATTTCCTAGAGTGGGTGATAAGGTAAATTCAGGCTTCACTGTAAAACCATGTTGGAGAGAATGCATCCTTAGATATATATGTAGGCCTAACTCCCAATCACAGATACCCTATGTGAAGGAGTGTTCTTTCAGCTACACTAATGTGCCAGGGTAAATTTAGAAATTTTACTGTGAATTTCAGCATGTTTCCTTGAGCTGGTTTCAAAGTAAGGACAGTTTTTGCTGTAAAACTGCATTGGAGCGAGTTCCTAACATATATATAGATAGGCCTATCTCCCAAACACAAATACTCTGTTTTCCCAAAAACGTAGCTGAAGGACAGTTTCAATACACATTTGGATCTGAGGATAGAACATGTAGAGAATTGTTCACTCAGCTACACTAAAGTGGAAAGTTAAAACTAGAAGCATTTACTGTGCATATTCAGCCTGTTTCCTAGAGCAGATAACAAGTTAAAGTCAGTTTTCACTTTAAAACCGAGTTCGAACAAGTGTCTAAGTTAATATGTATATAAGTAAGCCTATCCCCCAAACACAGATACTCTGTGTTTCCAACAAGATAGCTGAAGGACGGCTTCCACACACATTTATTTCCCAGAATGAAACATGTGGATAAGCGTTCATTCAGCTACTCTATAGTTCAAAGGTATATCTAGAAATACTTTCTGTGATTTCCCATCATGTTTCCTAGAGTGGGATTCAAGGTAAAGGAAGTTTTCACTTTAAAACCATGTTGTAACATTTGCTAAACCTTCTATATGTTGGTAGTCCTGTCTCTCAAACTCAGAAACTGTGTGTTTCAAACAAGGTAGCTCAAGAACAGCTTCCACACACATTCGGGTCCCAGAATGTAACATTTGAAAAGAGTTCTTTCAGCTACACTAAAGTGCCAGGGTAAATGCAGAAACATTTGCTTTGAATTCTTAGCATGTTTCCTAGAGCTGGTTTCAAGGTAAAGACAGTTTTGCTGTAAAACTGTGTTGAATGGAGTGCCTTAACTTATATATATATGTAGGCCTATGCCTCAAACACAGATACTTTCATTTCTCAACAAGGTAACTTCAGAAAGGCTTTCAACACTTTCAGTTCCCAGAATAAAATATGTGGAGAAGGGTGAATTGTGCTACAGTATAGTTCAAGGGTAAATCTAGAAATGCTCTGTGATTTCCCAGCATTCTTCCAAGAATGGGTGTCAAGGTAAAGGCGGATTCCACTGTAAAACCGAGATGGAATGAGTGCCAAACATCCCATTTATAGGTAGGCCTATCCCCCAAACACAGATACACTGTGTTACCAAAATATAACTGATGGACGGATTCCACAAACATTTGGTTCCCAGAATGAAACTTGTGGAGAAGATGCATTCAGCTACACTATAGTTCATGTGTAAATCTAAAAAAAAAAAATTACTGTGACTTCTTAGCATGTTTTCTAGAGTGGGTTTCAAAGAAATGGCAGTTTTTGCTATAAAACTGTGTTGGAACCATTGCCTAATCTTATATAAATAGGAAGACCTATCTCCTGAACACAGATACTCTGTGTTCCAAACAAGGTAGCTGAAGGACGGCTTCCACACATGCTCGGATCACAGAATGGAACATGAGGAGAAGCATTAATTCAGTGACACTGAAGTGCAAGGTTAAATCTAGAAATATTTACTGTGAATTCTCAGCATGTTTCCTACAGCAGGATTCAAGGTAAAAACAATTTTCTCTGTAAAACCGAGTTGGAGTGAGTGCCTAACTTTATATATGTTGGTAAGCCTATCTCCCAAACAGAAATACTCTGTTCTCCCAACAATGTACCTGAAGGACGACTTCAATGCACATTCGGATCCCAGAATGGAACACATAAGTAAACATTCACTCAGTTGCACTAAAGGGCAAGAAAAAATCTAGAAGCATTTACTGCAAATTTTCAGCCTGTTTCCTAGAGAAGGTTTCAAGGTAAATTCATTTTTCACTGTAAAACCTGGTAGGAACAAGTGCCTATTCTTATATATATAGGTAGGCCTATCTCCCAAACACAAATACTCTTTTCTCAAAACAACGTAGCTGCAGGACGGCCTCCACACACATTTGGATCCCAGGATAGAACATATAGAGAAGCTTCAGTCTGTTACACTAAAGTGAAGGGTAAATCTAGAAGCATTTACTGTGAATTTTCAGCCTGTTTCCTAGAGCTGGTTTCAAGGTAAATTCAGTTTTCATTGTGAAATCGGATAGAAGCATGTGTCTAACCGTATATATATGTAGGCCTATCTCCCAAACATAGATACTCTGTGTTCCCAACAAGGTAGCTGAAGGAATGCTTCCAAATGCATTCATTTCCTGGAATGAAACATGTGGAGAAGCATTCATTCAGCTACACTATAGTTCAAGGGTATATCTAGAAACACTTACTATGATTTCTTAGCATGTTTCCTAGAGCTGGTTTCAAGTTAAGGCAGTTTTCTCTTTAAAACTGAGTTGGAGTGATTTCCTGACCTTATACATGTAGGTAGGCTTATTTACAAAACACAGATATTCTGTATTCCCAAAAAGGTAGCTGAAGGATGGCTTCCACACACATTCAGATTCCAAAATGGAACATGTGGAGAAGCGTTCATTCAACTCCCCTAAAGATTCAGGGTAAATCTAGAAACATTTACTGTGAATTCTCAGCAAGTTTCATAGAGCCACTTTCAATGTAAAGGCAGTTTTTGCTGTAAAACTGAGTTGGAGCAGATGCCTATATATATATATAGGTAGGACTATCCCACAAATACAAATACTGTGTGGTCCAAAAAATGAAGCTGAAGGATGGCTTCCATGCATATTCGGTTCCCAGAATGAAACATGCGGAGGAAAGTTCATTCAGCTAGACTATAGTTCAATGTTAAATATAAAAAAACACTTACTGTGATTTCTCAGCATATTTCCTAGAGTAGGTTTAAAGGTAAAGGCAGTTTTCACTGTAAAACCGAGTTGGAACGAGTCCCTAACTTTATATACTTAGATATACATATCCGCCAAACACAGGTACTCTGTGTTCCCAACAAGGCAGCTGAACGACAGCTTCCACAAACATATGGTTCCCAGAATGAAACATTCCTAGAAGCATTCATTCAGTTACAGTAAAGTGCAAAGATAAATCTAGAATCATTTAGTGTGTATTCTAAGCATTTTACATAGAGCTCATTTCAACTTAATGGGAACTTTTGCTGTAAAACAGATTTGGAGCGAGTACATCACTATATATATATATATATATATACACATACATATAAAGGCCTCTCCCAAAAACACAAATACTCTGTGTTTCCTACAAAGTAACTGGAGGAGGGATTCCACACACATTCATATCCCAAAATGGAATAGATGAAGAAGTTTTCATTCATCTACACTAAAATGCAAGATTAAATATGGAAATACTTACTGTGATTTCTCAGCATGTTTCCTAGGGTGGGTTTCAAGGTAAACGCAGTTTTCACTGCAAAACCTAGTTGGAACGAGTTCCAAATCTTATATATAAAGGTAGGCCTATAAACCAAACACAGATACTCTGTGTTCCCTACATGGTAGCTGAAAGACAACTTCCACATACATTCGGAACCGATAAAGGAACATGTGGAGAAGCTTACATTCAGCTACACTAAAGTGTAAATTTAAATGTAGAAATATTTCCTGTGAATTCTCAGCATGTTTTCTAGTGCCAGTTTTTAGATAAAGGCAGTTTTCTCTATAAAACCAAGTTGGAGCAAGTGCCTAACTTTATATAATTAGTTAGGTCTCTCCCCCAAACTCTGATACTCTGTGTTCCCTACAAGGTACCTGAAATACCACTTCCAGACACATTCAGAACCCAGAATGGAACATGTGGAGAAGAGTTCATTCAGCTAAAGTGAAAGGTATTTCTAGAAACATTTTCTTTGCATACTGAGCAAGTTCACTAGAGCAGGTGTCTAGGTAAAGGCAGTTTGAACTGTAAAACCGAGTTTGAGTGCTAGCCTAAACTTATATATTTATGTAGATCTGTCTGTGAAACACACATATGCTGTGTTCCCCACAAGGTACCTGAAGGACAGCTTCCATGCATATTTGGTTCCCAAAATGAAACATGTGGAGAAGCGTTTATTCAGCTACACTATAATTCAAGGGTAAACGTAGAAAAACTTGGTGTGATTTCACAGCAAATTTCCTAGATTCGGATTTAAGGTAAAGGCAATTTTCACTGTAAAACAATGTTGAAAAGATTTCCAACCCTTATATATATATAGTTAGGCCTATCTCCAAAACACAGATGTTCCCAATAAGGTAGCTGAAGGACAGCTTCCACACACATTCAGAGCCCAGCATGGACATGTGGAGAAGTGTTCATTCAACTACACTAAACTGCAAGAGTAAATCTACAAATATTACTGTGAATTTTCAGCATGTTACCTAGAGCCAGTTTCAAATAAAGGCACTTTTTGCTGTAAAACCTAGTTCGAGAGACTGCATAAACAAATATATATGTAGGTCTATCCCCCAAACACAGATACCCTGTGTTCCCCACAAGACACCTGAAGGATGTCTTGCACACACATTCGGACCCAGAATGGAACATGTCGAGAAGCATTCACTCAGCTAAAAAAGTAAAAAGTTATTCTTATAAATATTTTCTTTTGATACTGAGCAAGTTTCCTCGAGCTGGTATCTAAGTAAAGGTAGTTTTGGCTGTAAAACCAAGTTGAATGAATGCCTAACCTTTGATATAAAGGAAGGCCTATGCCCCAAACACAATACTCTGTGTTCCCACCAAGATACCTGAAGGACAGCTTCCACACACATTTGGATCCCATAATGAAACATGTGGAAAAGCATTCATTCAGGTACACTAAGGTGCAAGGTTAGATTTAGAAACATTTACTGTTAATTCTCAGTAGGTTTCTAACAGCCAGCTTCAACTTAAAGGCAGTTATCAGGGTAAAACCGAGTGGTCCTGACTGTCTTAATTTATATACATATATGTAGGCCTATTTCCAAACACAAATACCCTGTGTTCCTAAAAAGGTAGCTGAGAGATGGCTTCCACACACATTTGGCCCCAAAATGAAAAACGTGGAGAAGTTTGCTTTCAGCTACACTTTAGTTCAAGGGTAATTCTAGAAACACTCACTGTGATTTCACACCATATTTCAGAGCAGGTTTTAAGGGAAGGCTGTTTTCACTGTAAAACCAGGTTGGAACAAGTGTGAAATGTTTTACATATACATAGGCTAATGTCAAAATCACATATATTCTGAGTTCACCACAAGCTCCTGAAGGACGGCTTCCACACACATTCAGATCTGAGAAAGGAACAAGTAGAGAGGCATTGCTGCATATAGCATACAGCGCTTGGGTACATGTAAAAACACTAACTGTGATTACTCAACATGTTTCCTAGAGCCAGGTTGCAAGTAAAGGCAATTTGTGATGGAAAACCAAGTTGAAGCGAGTGCCTCCCCATAGATGTGGAAGTAGGTTAGTTCCCTTCCAGCAAAAAATCGGTGTTCCCAACAAGGTAAGTGAAGGATATGTTCCACACAAATTGCCATCTGAGACTGGAACAAGTAGAGACATTGCTGCATCTAGCATACAGCACTTGGGTACATCTAGAAACAGTTACTGTGATTTCTCAGCATGTTTCCTAGAGCTGGTTTGCAACTAAACACACTATGTGATGGAAAACCAAGTTGGAGCGAGTGCCTCAAAATAGATATGGAATCAGTGTAGTTCCCCTCAAGCAGAAACACAGTGTTTCCAAAAATTTAGGTGAAGAACGGTTTTCACACACATTGAGATCTGAGAATGGAACAAGAAGAGAGGCATTTCTGTATCTAGCATACAGCACTTTGGTACATCTAGAAACACTTACTGTGATTTCCCAGCATATTTCCAAGAGCTTGTTTGCAAGTAAAGGCACTTTGCACTGGATAAAGGTGTTGGAGTGAGTTCCTACGCATAGATATAGAATTAGGGTAGTTCCCCTCAAGCAGAAACTCTGTGTTCCCAAGAAGGTAGGTGAAGGACGGCTTTCACACACATTCAGGTCTCAGAATGGAGCAAGAAGAGAAGCAAAGCTGCATCTAGTATACCAAACTTGAGTACACCTAGAAACACTTACTGTGATTTCTCAGCATGTTTCCTAGAGCTGTATTAAAACTATACACACTTTGTGCTGGAAAACCGAGTTGGAGTGAGTGCCTCAACATAGATATTGAATCAGCATAGTTCCCCTCAAAAGAGAAGCTCTTCTTCCCAAAAAGGTAGGGAAAGAATTGCTTCAAACACATTGAGATCTTAGAATGGAGCAATAAGAGAGGCATTTCTGCATCTAGCATACAGCACGTGGGTACATCTAGGAACACTTAATGTGATTTCACAGCATGTTTCCTTGACCCTGTTTGCAAGTAAAGGCTCTTTGTTCAGAAAAACTGAGTTTCAGCTTGTACCTACCTATAGATATGGAAGTAGCATAGTTCCCCTCAATCAGAAACTCTGTGTACCCAACAATGTAGGTGAAGGAAGGCTTTAACACAGATTCAGATCTGAGAATGGAACAAGTAGAGAGGCATTGCTGCATGTAGTATACTGTGCTTGTGTACATTTAGAAACACTTACTGTGTTCTCTCAGCATGATACCTTGAGCTGGTTTGAAGTAAAGGCAGATTACACTCAAAAACTGAGTTTCAGTGAGTGAATCCCCATAGATATGGAAATCATGTTGTTCCCATCAAGCAGAAACACTGTGTTCTGAACAAATTAGGTGAAGCACCGCTTTCACACACATTCAGATCTGAGATTGGAACAGGTAGAGAGACATTGCTGCATCTAGCATACAAAACTTGCATACATCTAAAAGCACATACCTTGATTTCTCAGCATATTTCTTAAAGCCGGGTTACAAGCAAAAGCCCTTTGCACTGGAAAACTGATTTAGAGAGAGTGACTAACCATAGATATTGAAGTAGCGAAGTTTGCCTCAAGCAGAAATGGTGTTCCCAACAATGAAGTTGAAGGCCGGGTTCCACTCATATTAATATTGACATTGGAACAAGAAGACAGACATTGATGCCTCTAGCATGCATACCTTTGGTACATCCTGAAACACTTACTGTGATTTCTCAGCATGTTATCTAGAGCCGGTTTGCAAATGAAGGCACTTTGCACTGGAAAAACGTGCTGGAGTGAGTGCCTCTCCATAGATATGGAAGTAGCTTAGTACCCCTCAAGCAGAAACTCTGTGTTCCCAACAAGGTAGGTGAAGGACAGCTTCCACACACATTCATATCTGAGAATGGAACAAGTAGAGAGGTGTTGTTGCATCTAGCATACAGAACTTGTGTTCATCTACAAACACTTATTGTGAATTCTCAACATGTTTCCTAGACCAGTTTGCAAGTAAAAGCATTTTGTGCTGGAATACCAAATCACAGCATGTGCCTCCCCATAGATATGGAAGTAGCATCATTTCCCTCAAGCAGAAACTCTGTGTTCCCAACAAAGTAAGTGAAGGAAGGCTTCCACACACATTCATATCAGAGAATGGAACAAGTAGAGTAGCGTTGCAGCATCTAGTATACAGCACTTTGTTACATATAGAAACAATTACTATGATTTTTCAGCATGTTTCCTAGAGTCAGTTTGCAAGTAAAAGCACTTTGTACTGCAAAACCAAGTTGGAGCAAGTGCCTCCCAATAGGCATGGAAGTAGCATCATTCCCCTCAAGCAGAAACTCTGTGTTCACAATAAGTTGAGGGAAGGCAGCTTCCACATACATTCAGATCTGAGAATGGAACAAGTAGAGAGGCATTGCAGCATCTAGAATATAGCACTTGAGTACATGTAGAAACACTTCATGATTTCTCAGCATGTTTCCAATAGCCAGTTTGCAAGTAATGGTTCTTTGTGCTAGAAAACAGAGTTGGAGCTAATGCCTCCCCATAGATATGGAAGTAGCATACTACCCATCAAGCAGAAACTCTAACTTCCCCAAAAGATGCTGAAGGATGGTTTCGAATCAAATTGCAATTTGAGATTGGAAAAATTAGAGAGACATTTCTGCATATTGCATACTGATCTTGGGTACATTTAGAAACACTGACTATGATTTCTCAGCATGTTTCCTAAAGCCGGTTTGCAAGTAAACACATTTATAGTTGGATAACTGACTTAAACTGAGAGCTTCCCAATAGAATTGGAAGTACCATAGTCCTCCTGAAGCTGAAATTCTGTGTTCCTAACAATGTAGGTGAAAGGCGGCTTCCACAATATTCAGCCCTGAAATTAAAACAGTAGATAGATTTTGCTGCATCTAGCATACAGTGTTTTGTTACATTTAGAAACACTTACAGTGATTTCTTGACATGTTTCATAGAGCTTTTTTGCAAGTAAAAGCTCTTTGTGCTGGAAAACCAGTTGGAGCAAGTGTCTCCCCATAGATTTTGAAGTAGCATAGATCCCCTCAAGCAGAA